GAAGCAGAATGCCGAAACCAAACATCACGTGATTGGAGCTCTGTTAGACAGCTGAGATGAGGCCCTTCTCGGCTGACCAATCACCCAATATTTCGAATGCTAAACCTCAACAAGTTCTCCTGAACCGTAGCTCCAAACCCTAATGGGTACCTTGCTTGGTGCAGAACTGGAAATCTCTGGTAGGTGAGTTTGCCAAAGTGCTGCCGTCTTCCTTGTCTTACCATGCATACGGAGCGGCTGTCGGCCACATCACTGCTAGTTATTCCACACATTGCTCTTGCCGCTGATGCGGCTGTTACTGCTGTGATTTCGCTGTTGCTGCTGTTGCTGCTGCTGCTGCTGCTGCTGGCGCTGCTGCTGTCGCTGGTGCTGCTTCTGCCGCTGCCGCCGCCGTCGGTGTTAGTGCCACTCCTCCTCCTGTTGCTGCTGCCGTGCTTGCCGCTGCCATTGCAAATGATGTTATGTTGTGGTTGCCGATACTGCCATGGTCGTCTTTGCCGAGAGCTCGTTCCGAACATCAATCCTAGTCATCGACCATCGTCCTCACAAGTGGACTATCGTCGACTTTCTCAAATCGAACCCCTTCTTGGCAGAGTGCCTGGCAGCGACGCCCTCCTGAGCAGTGTCGCCCATGTGGCTCCCGATATCATAGGCTTCAGAAAACTGCTGCAACAAATGGCACCATCCAGCTCAACACCTCGTCTTGTAGCACTGGGAAATTCTGTTGGTCGCTGCCACAGCCTGGTAATAGCCAAGCAAGCCCAAAAATTCCGCAGCTCTAGGACTCTAGGACTCTCATTAAACAATGCAGCCTTAACCTGAACCTCCTCCGCCGCACAAGCAGACCTCTTCCATGAGCGCAGTGGCCAACATGATGGCGGAAATGCCACCTCTCAAACAAACGACCAATTAAGGACCCAAGTATTGTGATGTATGTATGTATGTATGTAGGTATGTATGTATGTATGTAGAAAACCCATCGTACAAATATGTCTGTTGATTGTGTGTGTTGCCGCGATTGGGTTTTGAATACGGGTTCGAGACTTAGTATGGCAGGCTTCGGGAAGAGGTGCAAGAGAACGCTGCAAATTCTGCGGCCGGGTTCGCGGCGTCTGCCAAAGTCCGAAAGCCATTATAATGACCCTTTCTCAACCGTTCGTGCTACTCAGTTGTAGCTCTTCATAGGGCTTGTTTAAATATTGGCTCATCAGATCTCATCAGCACATGGAAGACAGTTTGGCAACGATTTGGAGCCAGGAAAGCCCAGGCATGGCCAAGAATGATTCAAGGAAAACCCTGAAAGTCATAAGGTTAGTTGGAACATGTGGCTGCTCTAAGTCTACTAATGTAGGAACCTCATTAAGAAACCGTGGGCCTTTGTTCGGGTTCCTTATATGAATCCTACTATTTTGGGGTTATAGGGCCAGGGTTTCGTAATCAGGTTCCTACAGAGCAGTCTTACTAAGTAGATGCTTGGAATATCATCCCTCGTTCCATGCGGCCCGGCCTAGGGACACCAGCGTCTGTAGCGCCTTCCAGGATCCAGCATTTGGGGGCTCCAAGCGTCTCTGCGGTTTGGTTTGTTGCTGTGGGCGACGTTTGAGGTCAGCCTAAGCCGATCAGTGCCCGTCCATGTTGCAGCAATCTCTGTGAGTTGCGCCCACGGCATGCTCAAAACCAATCAGGATTGTCACCGGCCGTGCATAGCGTGCATCTCAGCAGTGAGGCCTCCATGTTGCGCTGCTCAACGGCGATGCGCAAGGCTAAGCTGTCCTGCTCATTTAGCAGCCGGCAAACCTGGACGCCACGATGTGGTCTAGAGGTCCTTACGAGAGGTGATGGCAACCTACGCATCGCAATGTATCAGAAACATGTTGGCAAGCTGTGCAGGGCAACGTGAATTAGCGTGAACAGGCGAAGAAACTGTATGCACGTTGCCACGATTGATAAATATCAACAATGAATCAACAAATGGTCCTTTTGCGACAATTTTCTACAAAGGACACTGCTGAACATCCGGTTAGCAAGAGACAAAACATCTGAGACCATGATTCATGACTGCTCACAAGATTCCAAGACAAAGCAGCCCCAAACAAAGTGAGAGCCCTAAGTGCAAACTATCTGTGCCCCGTTACCGCTACCTGGTCAGATTTACGGCAAAGGTGTGGCTGGCAGAAACAGTGAAGGTGGCGAACGGGACGCGGGCCGCGGGCCGGTGTGCACGGGATGGACACGGGACGCGGGGCGTGGGACGCGGAGGCGGGGCGAGAATTGGCCTATTATGATAAACAGCTTGAATAAACATCGAGTTGATGTCTAAACCTCTTTTCCTAAGTATGTGCCTTTGAATCATCCCGGCATCCCCTGAACCTGACGGCAATGCACCACCCCGAAAGCACTCAAGCCAAGGTGCCCAAGCTCGGAGGATTCGCTGCAGAAGCACCCCCGATCCCTGGCAGTCTGACAACTGAAGCCGCTATCTCTAGGATACGTCCAGGCGGGAAGCATAGGAAGTACGTGTCTATCGAGAAAGATGATGATGACGATGATGAATACCATTACTACCCTACCGATGCTGGCTCTATTCGATGCCGTGGGTGCGAATGCTTGCCATGGTCGGGCACTGCTACATGTGCTGAGAGAATCGCAAAAACTAACAAGTATTCCGGTGCTTGCGGATGCTACCATGAAAGCATTCGTCGAAACCCGAAGCCGCCAAAATTGCTTGGTATCCCGTTGTGCGTATGAAGCTCAGGGTAAGCTTTTTGATTTTTGGGCTTGCTCCAAACTAACTTAAAATCGCTACTGGGTTTTTAGCGGAATGCGCTCGTAGGCATAGGAGGCATCGAAAAGTCTAAACAAAGGGCGTGCCAGCCATAAAAGCGACCCTCTCAGCTGCAGTTCTAGCCGCAATCACAGTCATGATTGCTCCTTTGTGCCAGGGTTTTCCGGTGCTCAGATAGGGATTAGCACGGCTAAACTTCTGACTATCAAGACTATGAGTACTCTTGGTTCATGTGGCGAGAGCTGCTGGTCCGAGATCCTGGAGATGAAACCTACCGACATCCTTGAGACCCAATTGTTTGCAACTGGCAGTACTGGTTTGGAGTCTACGGGGTGTCGGATTGCGACAACTGGCTGCCGGGTCCGTAAATACTTATGGGTTTGATGACATGATAAATCACAAGGGCCCAGTTGACGACGGCTTACGGCTTCGGGAAACAAACTTTGCTCTTCATCCCCCCAGAATTGACGCCGTCCTCATTTCGCCGGATGGCGGCGATCATCAACGCATGCAAGCCCTGCAGGCCACGACTGATATTTCTACAGCTGCACATACAAAACTGACACACAAATCCTCTGCGCCTGGGGTGTTAAGCGAAAGCGGAGTTGGTCTCGATCTATCTGGGTCAGGCTTGTTTCAGGACACCAAGCTGTAGCTTTCGGCATCTCGCAGGACGGACCGCCGCCACTGACGTAGTTGGGAGCAGAGTCAGTGCCGGACAAGCATCTGCGGATCGAAGTTTGGGTGTTCGTGGATTCAGGCTCCTGCCATTTGCAAGAACAGGTGGTGCAGGGTCTTGTGTATGTGACCTTAAAATTAGCTGCCACTAGCTAGACCCCCAAACGGCGCAACCAGCGCACCTAGGCAGCCGCGAGGCTTCTGAGCTGAAGTTATAACAGCCCGCCCCACCCCTAAATGAGACGAATGTCAAAGGGGTTGGATGGCGATTGGACGCAACTCTATATGAAGTTACAAGTGCTATAAGCCATTCGAATGGTAGTGCTCCCAGCGGTAGTAAAGGCAGCAGCAACAACAACAACAACAACAACAGCCGCAGGAGGAGCAGGAGCAGAAGTAGAAGGAGGAGGAGGAGGAGGAGGAGGAGCAGTAGTAGAAGCAGTTGCAGTAGCTGGAGTAGTGCGAGTAGGAGTGGGACTGGGAGTAGGGGTAGGAGGAGGAGTATGGAGGAGTAGGAGTAGCAGGAGTAGGAGTAGCACTGGCAGTAGTAGCTGTGGCAGCGGTAGCAGTAGCAGTAGGTAGCAGTAGGAGTAGGATTAGTAGGAGTAGTAGGAGTAGTAGTAATAGGAGTAGTAGGAGTAGTAGGAGTCGTAGCAGTAGTAGTGTAGTAGTAGTAGTAGTAGTAGTAGTAGTAGTAGTAGTAGTAGTAGTAGTAGTAGTAGTAGTGGTAGTGGTAGTGGTAGTGGTAGTGGTAGTGGTAGTGGTAGTGGTAGTGGTAGTGGTAGTGGTAGTGGTAGTGGTAGTGGTAGTGGTAGTGGTAGTGGTAGTGGTAGTGGTAGTGGTAGTAGCAGCGTGGCAGAGGTGGCGGTAGCAGCAGCAGCAGTGGTTGCCTGCACCGGCACTGCTCGGAGAAGCTCGGAACCACGGGGCCCGCAGCCCTGCAGACTCGAAGAATGGGCTTCGGGAACTTCGGCTTTGATTGGTTCAGTTGTGCTTTTTCTTCGAGGTCTTGCGGGTATCGAGGTCGAGGGCTCATCGGGTCGCTACTTATAGGACTATAGGAACTTAGCAGTGTCTGGCTAAGTACTTTGGAAAGCTTGCCTATGGTGAGCATCAGCGGTCCCCAAGACGGCTTCTTCCGAACAGCTGTTCCGAGCATAGGAAGGAATTTTGCTATAGTTTGTAGACAGAAATTTCTACAACCAGAGGAGCAAGACTGAGATCAGGCATCTCCTTTGAAGAGAATCCCTCGGATTATCGGTTGCAAACCAGAGAGTTTCGTATGAAATTCAACGTCCGACTGGGCACCCCCGTAGTTCACAGAACGTGCGGTCAGGAGACAGCTGCTCGTTTTGCCCTCCCCATGCTGCTGCCCAATCAGGTGAGTCAGGTGAGGGGTGGTCTTTCGCGAGATCATGCACTTATGATTCTCAGCCCTTGCGCATGCCCGAAAGCTGCAAGACGGCATGCGCAACTGAAGCCCAAGAGGCCTCAGCTTAGCTAGGGACCAATCAAAATCGTCCGACCCATGGACTGCTCACTCTTTCTTGCCCTCCTTCTTCTCCTTCTTGTCCTTCTTCACTATGGGGTTGGAAGGGAAGGCGAAGATGTGCAGAGCTCCCAAGAAGATCACCAGGGAGTACACATAGAAAAGTCGCGGGACAAACACCTCCTTGAAAGGGCCAGGTCTTGGGGTTCGAGTTTAGTTCAGGCTTTAATTGCTTTGCTACTAGTAGAGCTTCTGCACTGTACGTTGGGGCTTCGAGGGTTTCGAACTTTGGGCCGTGAAACCTTGTCTGCGCTGTACGTGCTGTAGGCTGTGTAGCCAGCGGCAACGAACCCACCAATGCCACTGAGCTTGCCGTTGATGGGATTCCTGTGCATGTACATATGTTACATATACATATACATAGACATATACCTAGACGTGTACATCTCATACACAGGCTTCATAAAATACAAATATGCCTTTATGCATGAATGTCTGAACCGTTGTATGTATGAATGTCTGTATGTCACGTATGCAGGCGCACATAGTGCGAGCGCGTATATGTATGTAAGTTAGCAAAATTTCGTATGAAAGTGTGTATCTGCGAACTAATAACTGTTTGCAAGACTTGTCGCTTAGAGGCAAGGAGTTTAAGTATATACTGAGGCTGTAGCGTGCCTCCTGTTAAGGCAAATCGTCAACGCTGATTGAGAGGCAGTGAATACATGAACGTGGATGAAAGTATGTATGCGTGTACATGCACATACGCCGGTGCATGTATACAATATGTACGTGCCTCCACAAACGAGTATGAACATGGTGCCCTGCATGTGTATATATCTACACTCTGCGGGACATCACATAGAGAAATGTGCACAGATGTACGCAGAGACTGTTACATGGTATCTGCAAATACCAACCTACAGACATTTGCATGTTGCAGAGTATAGGTCTCTAGCACGATGCAACATACTCAGACATGTGTAACATGACACCGCACAACACAAGGCATGTACTATAGCATAACACAAACCTTTCACATGAAGGGTAACTACAATAGGAAGCATACCGTGAAATAGAACATGACACCTCATAACATGAGTCTAGCATAGTAAAGGTACTTTATAGCTAAGACTAGTATGGAACAAGACATGGCATGATATAAGACAAGGTGATGCAAATATAACATGTTCGCACACGTTCTCAATCAATCGAGCAATGAGCTCTGATTCCGAAGACGCTGGCGAGGTGCCATTTGACGCCGGAAAGCATCAAGGAGAGGATGACCATGAGCCCTGCGACGAACTTGATCAGGGTGGCCAAGTCTGCGGACTGACTGCGGAACTGCGCCTTCAATGGGCCCAAGTCCTGAAAGAGGTGCTCCGGATAGAAATACCAAGACAAAGCCACACCAAGCAAACTGATGGCAATGAGGTCGGAGAAGTTGCCGTGGTTGTTCTTCACCTCTGGGCTCTTCGGTGGGAGGGGGTTGGAGGGAAACGCAAAGATGTGCAACGCCCCGAGGAGGATCACTCCGGCATAGGCGTAGAACAAGCGTGGGAGGAAGACCTCACCGTCCGCCTTGAAGACACTGTAGATGAAGTAGCCTTATGGGATTATGAGGGTTACCAAAGTACTTATTTTGAGATTCGTAGGCTGTATCCTGCTAAAATCTCATAAAAGTAGCCCATGGTGACGAAGGCCCCAAATCCCGCCATCTTTCCATTCACCTCGCGTGGCCCAAGGCTCTGAAAAACCGTAGCTTGAGAGGGTCGGTCCAGCGCAACGCTAAGTACGTTGTTTGTCCAGCTTGGCTTTGAAATGAATTCTGTGGTAGGCGCGTGCTTCCCCGAACCTACTTTGCTTGTCGTAACCTGCAATACCACGTGGGCACACAGCGAGGCTTCAATTCCGGCATTCTATCCACTGCAAAGGCAAACTAGTCCGCTCATGTCTTGAAATCATGTCTCTTGCGCACACGGAAGCCGGAAATTAAATCGTCAACGACATATTAGCCACAAAGTAAGAGATGCTTCAGCCCTGCTGCGGGGTTCCAGCTGACCGCTGAGAGAGTCATGCCCAAGAAGAGGATGAGCCCGGCGCCAAACTTGATGAGAGCCTCCATGTCGGGGCTCTGGGCCTTGAACTGCGCCTCCGGGGAGGGAGCTCGGGTTTAGGGTTTCGGGCCGCAAATACCGGGAAGTTCCAGCGGGGCAACGATACTAATATTAGTTCTGATACTAATACCAATACTCATATTGATACTCATACTAATACTATACTAATTCTAATACTAATACTAATATTCATACTAATACTGAGATTTCCGTGCCTTCAAGGGGCCCAGATCCTCGAAGAGGGTGGCCGGGTAGGCCAACCACTGTACGGTGACCCCGACCAGGGCCAAGAAGATGAGGTCGGACAAGTTGCCATGGGCCAT